GGAGTATCTAACTGAGTTGTTTAGTTGGTCCATTGTCAGCTTTATAACTGGGTATCAGAGGTGGCGATAGTGCTTAGCCATGTCTGTAAGGTCTAGGTACATATAGAGGAAGAAAAACCCAATAAACCCTTCTGTGGGGAAGAGGGACCCTGAGTTAATTTAGCTTTATTCTTTTAAATGTGTTTCTCTTAGTGTACATTATTTGTATACAATAATGGGTTCATCCTAACATGTGCATATATATACATATATGCATATATATGCAAAACACGTGTTAGTCATACTCACCCCTCTCTGCTACTCTTACCCTTTCTGTTGGCCACCTCTCTTTCTCAGATACTCCCTTTTCTACTTTTACATTTTTTCTTTCTTAAATCCCAATTCTACTACGAGAGAAAACTTGATTTCCATTATTTTTATTCCAAATAATATAAATAAAATCATTTAATCTGGGCTGGGGATTAAGTCTTTAATCACATCTTTTATATTTCCACTAATCTTATGTAATCTGTGAGGCTTTTACAGACTTCAGTCAGATTAACTCTGTATCATTACTGGAAGAAGCCTATATTGGCTTTGGTAAGACTGAGGCGGAAGCTGTGTCTTCTAGAAGTGCTGGCCAGCTCCTAGAACTTCCTGTCATTATACAGACAACACATATTCCACCCAGCTTTCCCACACACCCAGAGGAGCTACAAGCTTTCGTTTTCTTCGCTCTCTAGGAAGCAAATTGGATCAATTAAAAAGGAAGACTGTGAAAAATTACTTTAGATTGCATGAGAAAATTATCATCATAAGGTAAAATACTACCCTAAACAACTCTTTAGGGGAGAATGGAGAAAATAGTTCTGCTTATCGACAGTTTTTATGGAAATTCTACATGTTCCAAATGAAGATACTAGAGCATTGTCTGACCAGTCGAAACAGCAGAAACATCCATGTGTGTGGGAGTAAGCACAATTTCAGTTTAGCCACAGCCCACACACAAGAGTTGTAGGTTTTGTGGCCTAGTGGGGTTGTGGGGAAGAATGGTTCTATATAGGTATCATGACAGCCATTGCACTTTAAATTTTAAAAATGCATTTTAAAATCACCAGTGAATTCCATGTGACACTTTTGTGTTTTTCCTCATCAATGTGAATGAATGTGAGAGCATCTATCATTGGAGCAACACGTTTAATTTGTGTATTTCAGATTTCTCTAATACTTTTGACCTGTAATCCAATACAGCAGTGAAGTGTGTAAACATCGTTCAGTGAGTGGCAGATGCTTTTAAGACAGTGGTTCCAAAGGGTGATGATGGGTGTGAAGGATTTTTACTGCAACCATGGGAGAGTGGCTCCATTACAGAGGTCTTGCCTGGCATGTGTGAAGCCACTTGCCTGGCCCTTAGCATACAAAACAAATGAAACAGCAAAGCAAAATAAACAACAAAACAAAGCAGAACCCTTGTTGCTTGGTGACACCCTAACACACAGTATGGGTAATGCTGGTGTAGGCAGACGGATTCTGCAGCTAGTCAACAGAATGCAGCATATGCAAGCTTGTGCAGCAGACGCCCTTGATAAGAACAATAAACTGACTACTATATAAAGTGTTCATCAGGTTATGCTTTTTATCTGTATGTTGGACGGTATTCTTTCGACTTCTTCAAAAGTTCACTGTTGCACTTGTTCAAGGAAGTGCCTCGATGATGTGCACACAGTGGTAGAACCTGTGTCCCTGTACTCAAATAACTCTTGATTGCTCCATGACTCTGAACAGTTTATGCCTGAGGACTTCACAAAAGCCTGGGTGACTGAGGAGATGGCTCAGTGGGTAAAGTGCTTGCTGCTCAAATATGAGCCCCTGAATGTGGATCTCCAACACTCATATGAAAGAGCTGGGTGTGGAGGCTTGAATCCTACCAGCAGAGACATAAGACAGCAGATTCTGGGGTTTTATCCAGCCAGTTCATTCTATTCAGAAAACTCCATGCCAAGGAAAGACTCTGTGTTAAATAAAAAAGTAAACAAACAGACAGGGTGTCTAAGGTACAACACGAGACCAAGAGTGGCTTCCACATGCAAGTGGACATACAAGCATACACCCTCTCACAAAGTTTCACATACATGCATATACATATACATGAAATCCTGGAAAATACTATATATCTCATTTATTAACAGTACATTTTAAAGGTTTCAAATGTGTATGTTATAGTTTGTTTTCTTCCAAAACTCATGTAACTGATGTCCTTCCCCGCCCAATATCATGGGATTGAGACATGGAACCTTAGGGATGTAATGCAACTGGATATAGCCATAAGACTGAAGAGAGAGCATTTTCACACTTCCTTTCATGTGTAAAGGAGAAGTCACATGGTCACTATAGCAGGGTAGCTGCTAGCAGACCCAGAGATCACTCTGATGATGAGGTACAAACTCTAGAACTACCAAAATGCATGCCTGCTGTTTCAGCCACATACAGCATCACTACATTCCCAAGTGAAAACAGAGAATTTTTCCTGTGGATGGTGAGGATAGGTCTCACACTTGTGTGGTGTGGATGGCAGTCACTTTACTGACTGAGCCTCTTCTCCAGCCCCCAATTACACCTACATTCAAAGCAAGCACATTTTCCTGAACCAAAGGAAACAAACACCCCCAACAAAACAAAAACCAAAAACTTAGTAGGAGTGATATTGTTTTATTTCCTTTACATTCAGTACTGATTTTCAAGTTAGCTTTTAGAAGAGTTAGTCCAATCTAACACTTTTCTTATTTCTTTCCTAAAACAATAACCATAGAAACATAATAACACTAAAAATCTCTAAAACATGAGTTACTGTGATGGAATTTTTGACCTTTACCCCTATAAGCCTGCCATCAACCTTTGAATTAAGTGGTCCCATTTATCTTCGAAAAGTATCTTTCACACTTTTAAGAGAGTTACCAGTCTTAGCACAAAGAAAATTAAGTTTGTGATAACCTGACACCCATTTCACTTGCATAATTTTCCCATTTTTCACTTCGTATTTTCACTCTGAGTCAAGGCAATTAGTGAAAAGTCGGAACATTAGAGTTCTAAATAGAAAGACACATCCATTACCCACCCTCTCAGCTTGATACGCTCAACCTCTTAACAGCAAGCAAAGACCCATAGAGAACTCCGGAGAAACAGTTTACCAAGAACAAATTGGTGCCATTGTTTTTAGAACCTTTATGCAATTTTAGAGCTGGGATTAAAAACTGTCTTAATTGAGATTTGTTATACAATTTGTGAGCTGGAATTAAATCGTAAGATAATCTATGAAGAAAGCCATTATAACCCGTGTGAAGTGGGATGTAGCAAGCCAGGTTTGGCAGCATTTCCATGAAGGGAACCACAGGGAGACAGAACATTTTCTGGTGTACATTTTGGTAAGGAACATAAGGGAATCACATGTGGGTGTGTTTAAACTCAGATCTGGAGCCTTGCTACTCAGGACTAACAGTGAATCAGAAGCTGTGGTGTCACCTGGACATCTGGGAATGGTGCAGAACTCCAAGTTCTCAGGTATCATTGCTAATTGATGAGAGCTTTTCTATTAAACAAGATTTTCAGGTGCGTGTGATGGCTGTTGCGGTTTAAAAGCAAGGACTTAAAAGATGCAAGTAGTCCATCTTAGGAAGATTAGAAGAAATATTCCAGGTAACAAGTGAGACAGGACCAAGGAGTCAGGACAGTTTGTCTCATTGGAAGTTCAGAAAAAGGGAAGCCTAGAAACACAAAGACCAGTGGGACTGATGTGTATCAGGTATAATAATCAGGCCAGTGTACTGTGTTTATGTATTTTATCAAGAGAGTTCTTAATTTTATAACGTTAGCTAGGGGTTTCTCCAGTAATTGACACAAAATATGCATAGCAACAAAGCCTACAGTTTTTTCATTCTCTCTCTCTCTCTCTCTCTCTCTCTCTTTCTCTTTCTCTCTCTCTTTCTCTCTCTCTCTTTCTCTCTCTCTCTCTGTTTGTGAACAACAGAGTTTGAACTTTTCTATTCTTTAGAAGTGGAACTTTCCAGACTTGGCTGTTTCTCCACTTGGCAGAGGACAGATGGGGCAAGAGAAGAGGGCAGGGACAAGTTCAGCATCTAGCCAGCAGCGGTGGTGGCTCTGAGGCCAGATCTTAATGTTGTTGAAGACTTTAATAGGCAGTTTTCTGCCAGTTAGCCTTAAGTGTAATAAACAACTTTTTTTAAAAACTGAATCTTTTTCTCCTTGCACGTACCGAACTCTGCCAAGAGAAAGGATTATATACACTTTCATACCGGGACAAGGTAGCCAGAGTTTGATGGAATGGCTTTACAAGAAGGGTCTAATGTGATTTCAGGCTCAAGATAGCTTGTTCTGATACATCACTTCATACATTATCAATAAAGTCACTTCAGTGAAACACAGGACATTCACAGTTTATAAGTAATTATAAACTAAACGCTATTAGTAATTTACATCCAAATCAGTTAGTAAAAACTGTGCAGTATTTTTATCCTTAAGACAATGTTCAGATTTTATCTTCAAGTTTATTTATTTTTAATGGTGGTTATGCTTTTCTCTTTGGTGTCTAAAAAAAAATCAAACTTCTATCCATACAAAGCTATTAGAGTGTAATTTCAATATATCTATATTGCAAAGACTTGAAAACTTGATTTCATTTTTACAAGAGATATTTAAGTCAATTTATAGCTGCTACTCAGTAAACTATATCAGATTGATACTCTCTGGAAAATACCATTAACAGTGTAATTGCAGGTCTGGTAATCACTTTTCTTGAGAAAGGGTCATGGTTGACTCTTTCTCATTATGTTTTATAGCAGCAGTGAATTCACTGTTCAGACAGAAAGTTGTTAAGATGTATACAAACATTAGCTGAATGAAATACAGTCTAGAGGAAGAATTTTCAGCAATGTTGTTATAGAAAACACAGCTCAACCTCTAATTTCTATTTGCACAAAGGCTGGTGGGTTGGTGTGGGCACTTACTTTCCGATTGTATTGGGTAGCATCGTGAGTTGATTGTCATCTACTTTTAGAGTTGTTAGCTTTTTCAGCAGTCCTGAAACAGAGAAGAAGTTTTATTAGTACACCAGAGTAGGAAATGCCATTGAAAGAAATCGGACGGATCATTCACGATGAATACATGGGTGTTTCGATTGGCTATGTTCTGCACATATAACACACAAACAGACACAGGATAGCTTTAAGCTTTTGTTGTAAGAATTCACATGTCAATGAGAGTAAACATCATCAGAGCAGTTAAATAAACAAACTTAGGGCCCACACACTTGTCAACTGATGCATCCACATTTCCTTTTCCTGTTTTCCAGAAAATGGACCAGTAGAAACATCCTGAATCAGTTGAGTTTTTATATTGAATTAATTCCAGATAACTTATTATCTTATGATACAGCCTAGAAATAGTTTTACAACAAGAGTGTAACAGTCAAAAAGTGGGAAGTCATATAACAAAAAGTTTATGATTGTAAGTCATGGAAAATGACCACACTTGAGTTGTGTGCTGAGATTCCAGAAATGGTGAACTTGATCAGTGTTAGACACAAACAATGTTGTGATTTGTAATGCCTCACATTGAGCTGGCCAGGAGTTAACACTTTGTGTGAGAGGTGTATGTGCTTTTGTGTACAGGTACGTGCATGTGTTTGGTTGTATGTATGTATGAGGCGGCCCAACGTTGGTATCTGGAGTCTTCTAGGATTGCTCTTACACATTCTTCTTCTGTTGAGGCCAGTTATTTCTATCTTGCACAGAGACAGCATATTTTACTTATCTGGTTTGCAGGTTTGCTCTGGGATCCCATCTCTGCCTCCTGAGGTTGGAATTGTGGGTCTGGGTGTTTATCCAGGTGTTCGGGATCTTAGGTCTAGTTCTCACTTGTCTAGCAAGTGCTTCAACCACTGCACAATCTCCACACTCATTCAGACACCTATTTTTCACTGTCTGATCTATGCCCCCCACACTTTTTACAGCTTGTTTTCCTCCTGTTACCTTCATGTGCAGTCACTACACAGTAACGGGAGAACAGCTGCCTTTGGCACAATTATCCCTCATACCCAACCATCAACAAGCTCATAAATCAATGTGGCTTCAATAGTCAAACCCAAGGACAAAATATTAGTACTAGGTTAGCTTTTGTTTTATATGGGAACTATGGGTATATGCTGTAGATTACCGTGTTGTCAGAAAATTTATCATGAAAATGTTAATTCGTGACCAAATGTCTTTTGAGGGGTGTCATATTAAAGAAAATTAAACAAAGTTTTTCTAGGACTTTTTGATATAGTAATATGAAATTGTGATCCTTTGAAACCATCCTGAAGCTGGTGTGTGTGTGTGTGTGTGTGTGTGTGTGTGTATGTGTGCGCACACACACACTTGGGTGTGGAGCATCCATTGCCATTCATGCCTTGTGGACATGGTATCAGGATATGTCCACCCCTTTTAGTACTCTGGTAATTTTTTAAAAGCCAAAGGAAGCCACTTGGAGTCTGAAGTAAAGCTGTGGCTGACTTAGGATTTCAGTACAGTTATGTTTTCTTCTGAAGCAGGTGAAGAGAACAGCCCTTTCTGTCAGACTGCTGCAATGAAAACCCTGCAACATGGGAGTGTAATGCATCGACTTGGCATTCCCACATATTGGTGCATAATCGTCGTACTGGTCTGAACATCTCCTGCCCCATTCATCTCTGTTCCAGGGGTGTCTGAACCATTTTAGCTTCCCTCGAGCGTGTTTTGCAGCATCCGCTCTGGGATGTCAAAGGACACTGGAGTATGTTTATGTTACTAGCAGGGACATGAGTTACAGTGGGAAGCTCGAAGCCTCCATCAGACTGCTGTGCTCTATCTAGCCCACCAGGGGAGCTGTGGGAGCATCGAGTCTCTTCACTGTACTGGGTCACAAGAGGCTGAGGGTTGGATGATCGATAGCTGAGCCAACTCCAAGTCACCACAAGCATTTCCAGATCTAAGGCTTCTGCCATGAAAACAACGTTAAGGAAAACTTGAGATAGGTTTGGACTCCAGCAAGTGTTGTCTGTGCAGATTGGAGGCGCGGGCTCACACGAATCTTTACAGCAGAAACAAGCCAGGCCTTTCTGTGCAGCTCGAGTCTGTGGATTTATAGGAACTCACAGAGACCCCGTCACTCTGCTGCTCACGCATTACCCAAGGGTCTAGTCTGGACTGACAGAGAGTCTCAGGAGGACTCTGATAGTGGGCCGAGCACCAGCTTCATGTGGCTCATTCTTCCTCTCCCTCCCTTGTGTTTGCCCTCCCCATATTCTCTATCTTTTTACACACTCTTGGCATTGAAGTATTGACAAAAAGGATGAGGACTATTATTGTCATTGTAGATATTCTTGTACAGATACATAATTAATGTGAATGCATTAAACATTAGCTCTTTTTTAAAGCAGACAATGTTTATGTGGCATTTATACACATTGTAATAGTACTATGAAAGCAAACCACTCTGTCGCCTAAGTTCTCACAGGAACTGCCGCTGACTGAACACTCGGCACTTTGGATTGACTAGTGAGCTCCTCAACATGGGCATGTGGTGGAGGTAACGCTACTCCTACACAGTGATGAACAAATGGAGCACAGAGATGTGATGTAACTTGTTGAAGGTCACACAGCCAGGCGAGAAACTTGAACTCAGGTAACTTCACTGTGGAGCTTTTGTTCCAATCACTAAGTGAGCATAGTTTGAAAAGTAAAACACTACTCAGCCTCCTCTAGTGATTTTCCTTGCTACCCAAAGAAGCGTTTTATTAAAACCACCTGGAAGAGGAAGAGAGGCTTTTGATTTTTCTTGGAAACAGCGCAGGGAGGGACCAAGCACAGGCTGGTTGTGGAGTGTGTCTCTCAGTCAGCTGACTCTCAGCTGCAGGACTTGTGTGACAGAGTGGCAATTTTGTTTTAGTTGTATTTTATTGTATTAATTCTATGGAAATTCTTCTCTTATTTTTAAAATTTCTGGTGGCCCAATAGATAATCCACATTTTGACAAGAAAGATGAGGGGCCGTTTCTCATCCAGTTAGTGTCCATGGTCTTTTTGGGCCCCAGAACAAAGCTCTCGTGTCTGTTGGCCAACAGGGGAATGTCCTGAGGAAGGCCTGTCTGTGTCTACACCAGGCCCTGGGAAGATACCCAGACACAATTTCCCCTGAAATTCAGTGAGACACAATGGACAGGTCAGTGAGTAATTAGTGTCCCCACATTGCTTTCATCCTGGGAGAGCCCCTAGGGCCTGAAGGAAGATATTAGAGCAATGAGATCCATATTTCTGTCTGTCTGCTTCTGCTACTACATGCCCAGCTCTGTGTCACTCAAAGGGATGCCTTACTCCAAGTGGAGGGTGACTCTGCGGGCTGCTTTTTAAGGAAAGATAATTTAACACATAATCCTGCTATAGTAAGAATGCCTTGTCTTCTGAAATAACTGGCTCTTTTAAATAAAACAGGCTTATTTAACTACATTTGTTCTTTTGCTGTGATTTATGACACATAATTTCTTTGTTTTCTATCCTATGATTGCTTTAACTTCTTTTCTTTCATCTTGTGTATGGATTTTTTTCAATTTCCATCCCTCTAGTACTATACAAGTTACACATTTTATCTCTCTATTTAAGTGGATGCATTTTCATTTTTAGCATGCTTATTTAATTTCCTTTTCCCGCATACTTGTGAAGTTCTTTATTTGTCAAGTAAATAGTCATTCTTAGCAGGAATAAATCATCTTTTTTACTAAGCAGAACACAGCACAGGCCAGACACCGTCTTAGCACTGAGAAGTTAGCTATGAACAAACCTTTGTTCTGGGAACCAATGCATTTTGCCTGCATTTTCAGTGGTGTGAAGTGGTGCCGGGTGTGTGGAGTCACAAACTACCACTCTGTCGTCCTGAGCAGCTGAGTCTCTTTGTAGCTAATGGGCCTCCTCAGTGTTGCAACCCAGCTCTTCCCACACTCATCTGCTCACGAGTTTCATTTAAGGTAACTAACGTTCAGATCGGAGCCCAGTGTGCTGTCCGCACCAGATGCTCCTGGGATGCAGCTGGGAAGGGTGAGAAGCCTAATGAAGCTTCCAGTTACTCCTGATGGCTGGAGAAACATTGTTTGCGATGTATGATAAATAAAAAGTCAGAAAATTTATGAGAAGAGCTTGTGTGAGTTTGTTAAAACCAGCGTGCTCCATCAGCCTGAACGGATGGTTAAAGTAGTAATAAAATACTGGAGGGAGCATGAGAACTACCCTGTAGTCTCTCTTCAATTGGGCTACTTAGTCTATGACAGTGTTTAGAAGTATCAACAAGCTGCTGAATACATGAAACATCTATTCCAGACAGGTTAAAATCCCCATTTCAAAGTTAACTGAGTTAATGATTATTTTTCTAGATGAGACATCTTATAATCAGAAATAATATAAAAGTACTCATTATTCAGTCTTTTATAACTCTACCCATAAAAGCCATAAATAAAAGACCCAGTGCGTGATAGACATACTCACATTTTTTCTTTCTGGCAAGCATCTTACAACATATTAAGAATGATGTGTCTTTTAAAAAATAATGTAACTAAGAATCTCTTTTATATTTGCACATTTTTGTGTTTTATTTACCTGTGATACCAATGTTACAATGTATCCACTGTCACCAAATAACTCTAAATCTACACACTTACTCTTCATGACAACACTGCAATTCAGGAGATTTGAAAATTTTAAGATGCACTTACTTAATAGGAACATTTCACTGGAGAGTTGAATTCGATGCTAAAGTTAACAGTTCATTTAAAGGTATCTGCAATGCACTGTTTTATGATCTTGCACTGTGAATTTGGTAATTCATTAATGTCAGGCTAGTAGTATATTACCTACATGCATAAATAAGTTATACTGCCAAAACAGAAATTGTACACTTGACATAATTACTCACGATAAAATGTTGCATCCTCACCTATGGAGTCAGGCAGCTGTTGTAACATATTGGAGGATAGTAAGAGGTCCTCAAGGGCTTCACATCCGGAAATATCCATGTCAACCGTTTCTATCCTGTTTTTTGACATATCCAGGTATACCAACATCTTTAACTTCCCTATAGACTTGAAGACAGTGCATAAACTCAGGATTAGTTGGGGAACTTTCACAAGGCTCATGAAGCTATAAAAACCACAATGTTGTGAAATTAATTTTAAAGCCATCATGACAATAGGAGGACATGGAATCACTGACCAAATGTACACTGACTAGAAAGGACACTGGTGCATCCATTTCAAAACACAGAATCCCTACATTACCTACACACCCCACACAATAAAAGCACACATGTACACAAACAGTCACAGATGTGTTATTCTTAGCAGCCAAGTGGCAGCAGCCCAAACCTGCCTCACTGACTGCATGGGTAAGCAAAAGTGGCCTGCCCACATAATGGATATTATTTGGCAGTAACAGTGAATGGAGTGTTGAAATATGCTACCAAATAGATGAACTTTGAAAGGAGCATGTCACAAAAGACCACATATTCGCAATGTCCAGACACAAAGTAGAAAAGATTGCCAAAAATGTAGTATTGCTTTTAAGGGTGATGGAAATGTTCTAAGCTTAGGTTGTGATGATGTTTATAGAGCATTGTGGGTCTGCTAAAAAAATCCACTGACTGGAAAATGCCTATAAATTATATCTCACTGCAGTGGTTAGAGATAAATTCTGAGTGAATGCAGCAGTCAGAGCATAACAGTTCTCAAATTTGCCAGTGGAGAACTGAACATTGCAGAGTATCCTTAAGGTTCTGATGTCTCAGAAAAATTTAAAATTCTAATTTGAACTTGATTCTGCTAATTAGAATGTGGGAGGCAAGGAGGTCTTTGTACTCATAGATAAGGACTAGGGGAACCTGGAATGTGATATACACTGGTTGTTCCTTCAAAGAAAGGAAACATAACCCGTCATCCACCCAGAAGTCTTGGAGAAGATGTGATTAACAGTCTAGTGACCTTTGTGCTATCTGTGTGGCCAAGACTACCCTGGACCCTCCCCCAGAACCTTATCATAAGCTCGTTTTTTTCCCCTAGTCAATCTATAGAACCCATCTTTATGGAAGGTATCACATACACTTTACAAAGAGTTTTGATATAGTCATGTCCGATCTTTATTTAGCTTACTTTGTTCCTCAAGGAGATTTATGTGTGCTTTATTGTATGTATGGAATTGATTACTACCAGGAAAGCTTACACTAAATTGTGCTGTGCTTAAATATGTCTAAAATGAACTACTCAGTTCATTTGAACTGGAGTTTGAACCAGCATTGGCTACTTAGTCATATTGAAATGAACGTGACTCTGGAAGATCATTGCTATGTTGGCCATGGTGGTCACGGAGATCCCTTCATTAGCGGTTAACATTCTGCTCATTCACCAACCCTGAGACTATTATATGCTACTATCTGTGCTATGTAGTACAGACAGCACCATGAGCCAGTCTGGAAAGAAACTTGTCTGGATAAAGACAACGGCATTTTAAAATTTTGAAACCAATTATTGTTGCCAAGTACAGGCTTGTCTTCAACTCAAAACATTTCTGTTGCCTCCATCCTAGGTCTGTGATCACAACTGTTCAACACCATCATAGTCAAAACAAGAGTTTTATCTTTAGGGAGTTTACATTAGTGAAGGCAATACCCAAAGAAACAGTTAAAGACTTGATATGCGTAAGAAAATTTATGTGGGAAACACCACAGAAGAAAGGGGGAAGGACAAAGACTATCAAGTAGTTGTCATTTGTCAAGAAAGAGGGAACCCAAAGGTATCAAGATGGTTCAGTAAGTAAAGTGCCTGCTGGAGAAGCATGAGGACCCCAGTTCAATCTCTGGCACCCATGCAGAAAGCTTGGCATGGTGATATATGCTTACATTCTTAAAGCTAGGGAGGCAGAGACATGCCTGTGAGCCAGCCTAGTTGAATAAGTAAGCTCCAGGTATAGTAAGAGACGCTGTCTCAAAGCTTAAGATGGAGACTGATTAAGGAGGACACCTAATATTCATCTCAGGACTCTACATGTTTGTACACATGTATGCACACACTCACAGGAGCACACAAAAAAAAAGGAAAAGAGGGAACCTGCAAGAAAGAACAGCTCTCATATTTATGGAGAAGCTCGGAAACACATGACACACTAATATATTTAATAAGAGTGACTGAAGTTTGTGTTGCATTCAAGCCTGCGAGGAAGTCGTGAGGAAGTCCTTAGCAAAGCTTTCCAAAAATTCTGTGGCTGAGCCCCACAACCCTCAGGTGTCTGAGCAGGGGCTGAGGGACTGGGTCTTTGCATCCTGCATTTGTGGATAATTGGAAGAAGGTTACCCGGAATGGGGCTTTGACCTTGAGTGAGGAGGCTTTCTTCAGAACAGGGAATCTGAAGAGGCCAGAGAGGCTGCACCCAGTGTTTCCAGAAGCTGGAGAATAAAGTTCTTTATTCCTAAAGGACACATAAGCACACGCTTTCTGTGTGACCTTCCCAGGTTGCTGTGAGAATGGGGGCCAGAGATAAAACTGAATCTGCTTGGATTGGATTAAAGATCCTCCTATCCCTCACACCCCTCATTAACTCAGGGCCCCATCCTGCATCTTTAGATGCCTGTGAAGCTGTGTGGAAGCAGATGTTAGAGGAGCTGGCCCTCCAGAACAGAGGGAAAGAAAGCAGCAGGTGTCTTTCCCTAGCTCAGAAGAACATCACTTGATAAAATCTGCTACTTTCCTATTGATGTCCCACCCCAAGGATGCATGATCCATGGTAGCTCTCTCTTTTCCAGAGGTAAAGGACCCTGTGTGGTTTTCTGTTGTATGCCCTTCTCTGTCCTTTAACCAGGAGAAGGCTTTCATCCTTGAAGATGCTCTCCATGCTGCTTTTTCCTGCATTGACCAGCATTTGCTGTGTAGTTTCTAAACAATTTGTGGAAGGCAAACAACACTGGGGTATTTAACTTTGAGTCTTTCAAACCTTCTACCAGCACCCTATCCTGAAGGTCGACCTGGTCCAGCACCACTCTATGTGCGGATGGATCCATGGTGGGGGAATGAGTGACAGATGGGAAGAGTGGAAATCACAGATGAGGGAGATGCCAGACTATTCAGAAACAACAGAAGTTCATGCACCACTTGGTTAGAGCTATATGAACTTTAGATTGGTAGTTGTAAGGTGGAGTTTTGTAGAGGATGAAATACTTGGTCGTTCTGTTTACCTCTCTGAGGTATGAAAAATGAGTAACAAACAAGAGTCTAGGCTTCTAAAAGTGTATTTTAATATGTTAGGATGCAAGAGCAAAGGAAAAAGTGGATTTGCTTTTTTCCCACATCTTTTCACGGCAAATACGGAGTGTGATTCATTTTTGAGGATGACTGACAGGTAGCACTTCTGACTGCACGGGAGATGAACAGCCAGTCCAGGTCACATAGAACTGGATAGCAGGCCGAGGTCACATAAGCTGGGAGGAGTGGAGTGTTACACATAGGGCATGGCAAAATGTCAAATTAAAGCATACTAAATAAAGTTATCCATGGACCACAGCTGAACTACTGGATTAGATGCAGAAGTTTCAAAAGAGGTTGGACAAGATTGCTGGTCTCACCGTTTACTCATTTGCACATTTGGATTTTGCAAACGTCACCACTGCGGAAAGTGTCATGACTCCAATTCTCACCTGTGCCTTCTGCAGGTTCCAGAGACTGCACTGTCAGACACGCTGTGAGGTCAAGCATTGCTGTACAGAAGCAGCTGCTTTGGCATATAGGCCCAGGGGCTTACTGTAAGGCTCTGTGAACCTGAGCTGCACAGAACCTTCTCATAGGGTTTCTCTGAGGACCCGAAGAGTGAATATTTATAAGCCAGCTAGGCAATGCCTGGCCCAGTATATGCAAAGTAAGTAGCTTTGTGGAAATGAATATATTCAAGAAGCTGGTATAAACTTGCATCTAAGTAACATTCTGACTTTTCCATATCTGCTTAGGAGCTAAGAGGCATTTTATCTGCATTCTCCAGGACTGTACATACACTGGCCTCTTTCATTCACAGGGATAAATGCTAAGACAGTCTGTGGATGTCCGAAGCAGTGCTTGTGACTCAGACATGTACAGACTGTGGCTTTCTCTCTGCATTTGCCTCTAATAAAATTTACCAAGTAAACAGCAACAACTGCCAATGAAACATCAGAACAACGGACTATTAAAAAATTACACGAGCCAGCCATGATGGTGCACACCTTTCATCTCAGGACTAGGGAGGCAGAGGCAGGTGAATCTCTGAGTTTGAGGTCAGCCTTGCCTACAGAGTTAGTTTCAGAACAAAAATAAATAAATAAAATTAACAAATCACTTAAATTCATACATTTTCATTTGTGGAATTACTCTTATGTGAGTCTTCCCAACAGTGTAATTGAGGGAGTTGATTGTAAGATCTTTGTGATTCTCTGATCATATTAGCAAACAGTTTTGTAAGTACAAGATGTACCAACTTCTGTTTATGTCTGTGATGCTGTAGATGCAGCCCTTTCAAATTTAAAAATGTTCTTTCCTCAGTCTTTGGCCAGATATCTCCTATTGCATGGCCTTGTGTTTGTTCACAGAGAACAAATGTCATGTGCTTGCTCCCTTGAAGTAATTTAAAGAAAATTCAAAAGAAGAGTAAAATTTGCTTTGAGGAAATATTGAAACCTCTGGTTTGAATGAAAAATGATTCCCTCCACTTGCCTGGACTCTTAGTCCAGTGAAAACACCAACATGTGTGTTGAGGTGGCCAGGAAAGGCAGGCGGTGGGGACGAAACCTGCTCCAGGAAGGGTCATGGAGCCACCCCACCACAGGAGGAAAACCTGAGTCTGGTCAGTTTGTATTGGATGCTACGCAATCCTTGTGATTTCCAAAGGTATAAATGGGTTCTACCAGAGAAGAAGCAGAGAAAGCCATTTGCTTTGTAGAAGAGCTCTAACAGCAAGAGGAAAAACAGCTGTACTGTTACCTGTGAGAATAAGGTTTTTTTTTGTAAAGCAAAATGTGTTTTTAAAAATTCAACCAAGAACTTATCAGCTTTTAAAACCCAGAGAGAAGAAGAAGGGACATCAAGGGAAATCTCAGCTTTTCTGTTTTTGCAGTTCATGATAAACATAGCATATTTAAAACAATTTCATGAGAAGCACTTGGTGACTGAAGCCCCAAAAAGTGTTAATTTGCTTTCCAAGCACTGAGAATGGAGATGTGGGATTAATAATTAAAAACATAACCAACCTGCAGCAGTCAGAACACACTCATGGCAAAGCTTACGTACCCCAGGCAGCACTTGCAATGCATTGTTATCCATCCATAGCTCCCTTAAATTCTGTATTTGATCCAGAACTTCAGGCTGGGTGAGAGGCAGAGAGAAAGAGAGAAGAGACAAATCAAATCAAGTTTCCCTGATCACATTAGATGTCACTTCTTGAATCTTGAGCTTTTGTTTAGGAATTTATTATTAGTCTAAAAATTTGCAAGTTTAACAGACCTCCAAAAAATCCAGTATAGGGATAGGAGACCTAGAATTACCTGGAAATTATCAGAAAAATTTCAAATTTCAAAAATTAAGACCTATTACTCAGGGATATTAACTTATTTCTTTTATATAGTCCAGTTATCTTTTATATTGTTAACTGTTCTTTAATTACTTGGGACATTCATCCTTCACATAAGGCAAGCTCTTTTCTTTTAATGATTTTTAACTTTTATTTATTTTCACGTGTATGAGTGCTCTACCTGCATGTATTTCTGTGCACCATATGTATGCAGTACCTGTGGAGTTTAGAAAGCCTGGTATGGGCAATGGAGTTGCAGACAGTTTTGAGACTCAGTGTGGATGATGGCAATTAATTCTGGGTCCTCTGAAAGAGCAGTCAGTACTCTTAACTGTTGAGCCATCTGTCCAGCCCAAGTGACATCAGCATTTGAGAGCCAAGGCACTACTCTTTTGTAACACTGTACCTTTACTGTAGCTCTTTGCACACAAACGGTTCTTATTTTGTGTGTCTGTGCACCGCACACATATGCCCATGGGCACACAACATTGAAGAACTATGACATGATAGTCAGAGCCCTCTTCTTTCTATCCTTTCATTTTTGTCACCTAAGAACTACTGTTTATGAACTGACTTATGAGTCACTTCTCTGTGTAGGTCGGGCTGGTTAAACTTCCCCATCACCAAGCCCTGTTTGCCTGAGAAACCTAGGTGATGCTGGGTAAATAGATCTACAAAGTAGGTATGCAAATTAGGACTTTACTGATAGTTATAAAAATTATTTTAAAACATTTCTTGGTACACATATGATTTTAGGACTTAGTAAAGGCTAAAGCAAATGTACACAATAGCAGAATGCTTATTTTAAAGTAAAGAATTTAGCTTCCAGATATGTGATAATGTAGAATGTACAGCGTCATCAATGTTTTTCAGAATTGATTGGTATTTTGATTTTATAATAATGCTAAGAATGTTGCTTTACACACGCCCCTTAGAAAATGGAAGCCATTTTTTTTAAATGTTGAAAATTTTATTCCAATCTCCAGCCAGAATTTACTAGATGCAGTTTTGCAAATGACTTGGTTTCTTCTGAATGCTCAGACCGCTGGTCCTTAAATTGTTTTTCACTCTTTACCCTTTCAGTTTTGGGGGAAACATCTAAAAATCTGCAACACATAAAGGAAAACTAACTTCAGATTAAGAAACTTTCTTCCACTCTTACTTAAATCTTTTATTTAACAACACACTTGCTTTATTACAAGCCCTTTGGCTCTCACAAGTGGCAAAATGTTTTATTCATGAATTTCATAGCCCTCATTTGAAACCCCGATACACAAAATTGGATGAATGAAATTGCTCAGCACTTGATGAAAAGCCTACTTATGATTCTCTCAGTCGTGATGTACAACATGCCTTGAGATTGTCTAACCTCTTCAGTTAATTTCTTCGGAGACGGAAAGGTCACCTCCATAGGGTCTGAGCCTTTTTCAAGGTTACATTAATTTTATTCTTCTCTGCTTTGTTTCAGAATCAATCCCACTAAAATGCCCATAAAAATTTAGAGCCTTGTTTTAATACATCCATTTGCATTAATATATAGGAAGAAAATGATGTTATGTTTCAGTAATTGTTGAGAGAACAAATAGGTATTCTAGTGACAATAAGGAAAGGTGATGCTGAGAAAATGTAATTGATTCATAATTAATTGAAATACTTTAAGCCATAAGCTCTTATGAATATTTTAATGTCTATGAGTTTAATATATCCCATTTAAATACTCAGATGAGTCTATTGATGGAATAGGAAAAAGATAACATGATGTGGGGAAGGTGCACCAATATGTGAAATGATGAAAAAGATCTGAAGATGCAAGAATGCTGGCCAGTTCTCAAGAAGTAACAGTAGAGGACTGAGTGGAGTCTTCTGTGCCTAGACTAAGCTCAGAAGCAGTGAACAAAATTGAGAATTTAAGTCTAGAGTGAGCTTGGTGTTCAGTGTGAATCCATTCACTCTACAGACAACCCCTCCACACAAGAAGACGCTGTAGCACCTGGGAATGAAATCAGACAGGGGGTGGGGCTGGCTTGTGACTGTTTCTTTGAATGTCCTTGTCTGTAGATGCCAGGAGATCATGCATGAGTGACAGAAGTTTGCTTCCTCTGGATAACCAACTGCAAAGATATCTTCAACAAGGTGTACGTATGCATCATGTCTGGAGATAGCACCAGGGACACAAGGCTAAGATGGCCCATGTGGTCTGGAGTGGAGAAGAATGGTTGCCACAGACACTCATCTTTTTTTAAAAAATTTTCCATGGTGTCTTTTATTTATTTATTTTATTGAGCTATATATTTTTCTCTGCTCCCCTCCCTTCTTTGCCCTTCCCCTTCTACCCTCTCCCATGACCCCCATTTACTGAATTTACTTAGGATTTCTTGTCTTTTTCAACTTCCTGTGTAGATTAGATCTATGTAAGTCTCTCTTAGGGTCCTCTTTGTTGTCTAGGTTTTCTGACATTGTGAATTATAGGCTGGTTTTTCTTTGATTTATATCTAAAAGTCATTTATGAGTGAGTCCATATTATATTTGTCTTTCTGGATCTGGGTTACCTCACTCAATATGATGTTTTCTAGATCCATCTATTTGCCTGCAAATTTCAAGATGCCATTATTTCCCCCACAGTGTAGTACTCCATTCTGTAAATATACCATGTCTTCTTTATCAATTCTTTGGTCAAGGGACATTTAGATTGTTTTCAGGATATGGCTATAACAAACAATGCTGCTATGAACACAATTGAGCACATGTTTTTTGTGGTATGATTGAGCATCCTTTGTGTATACACCCAAAAATGGTATTGCTGGAGCTTAAGGTAGGTTGTTACCCAATTTTCTGAGAAATTGCCATACTGATCACCAAAGCAGCTGTACCAGTTTGCACTTCCACCAGCAAAGGGAATGTTCCATTTACCTCACATTCTCTTCATCATAAGCTGTCATCAGTGTTTTCGGTCTTGGCCATTCTTACAGTAAGATGGAATCTCAGAGTTGTTTTGATTTGCATTTCTCTGATGGCTAAGGATGTTGAGCATTTCCTTAAGCACCTTTCAGCTGTTTTAGATTAATTTGTTGCAAGTTCTCTGTTTAGGTCTGTACCTCATTTTTTTATTGCTTATTTGTTCTTTTAATGACCAATTTCTTGAGTTCTTTGTATAATTTGGAGATCAGCCCTCCGATGTGGGGCTGATCAAGATCTTTTCCCCTTCTGTAGGCTGCCATTTTGTCTTGTTGACCGTGTCCTTTGCTTTACAGAAGCTTCTCAGTTTCAGGAGGTCCCAATTTTTAATTGTTGCTTCCAGACACTCATCTTTAAATATAGCAGAGATGTTATAAGAAAGCAGGACTGGTTTCATCTGATTCCACAGGTGGGCCAGAAATAATTATCAGAGTCACAGGGACAGAATGAAGTCTGCATCAGTGGATAGGGACTGTTCCCAGTTAGATGTGTCCAAAGGAAATAATCTAATCTGCTTTCAGATACAGTGACCCCTCTACCAAATAAACATGTAGCTGCCTAGGACAGCATAAATAATAAAGTAATCAACAACAAAAGCTAACACTTGTTGGGCACTCATTATAGTAAGACACTTTTAAAAGTTTTTGTTTGTGTTTTTGAGATAGGGCTTCAAAAACACCAGGCTGGCCTTGAACTCACTGGATACTGGCATGTGCCTCCATGCTCAATTTATGTGATGCTTGGAGGCTACGGTCCTTATGCATGTTTGGAAAACTCCATTAGCTCAGCATCAATACCAGCATCAACACCATCAAGGTGTTTTTCCACGGATTGTTTTCACTAATGCATTTTAAGCAATCTTTGAGGGAGGTGTCATTGCTGATGGGCAGCAGGAATAACATTGAGGATATGAGCTTTGGGGTGGGCAGAACCCAGCTGTCACTTTATTGGCTCATATTCTTCATCAGTACTAGTAATGAGAGCAGCTGTACCATCATGGGGAGAGTTCTGAGAGTTTTTGTTTGCATCAATCCAATTCTATTGTTACAGAAAAATATCCAGGGGTTGGTAATCTATGAAGTAAAGAGGTTTACCAAGTTCCCAATTCTGGTGGCTGCAGGCCTCCATTTCTTCAAGGTCTCTCTGGCTGTATCACAACATAGAGGAAGACAGAAAGAGAACCAACCACAGGATGAAGGGAGGGAAAGAACAAGCTGGATTCCGCTACAGCGGCTTGTTCTCCTGGGAACCAGCTCATTTCCATCTGAGAACTACATTAATTTCTGTCAAGGGCAAGGCCTTCAGTGACTTAATTTCCTCCAGTCAGGCTCTGTCTCTGAAAGGTTCAGTCACCCCTCAGCACTGTCACACCCAGACTAAGCTCCTGAAAGACGAACCTTTGGGGAAAATGGCTTATCCATGTCCAAACCACTTGGTGCTCAGTGTTGGTGAGTTAGTATTAATCTCCATTTCATAGGGACGGGAGCCTAAAGGAACAAACGAATGTGCCCCAACTTATATAACTAACATGAGGAACGCTAGCTTGACCTGAAAGTTATGTGAACCATGGTGACTATATTTCAGGAACAGAGAATCATCGTGGGGAAAATTGACAGGTGGTTCATATGCACAAGGTGTTCCTTAGGCAGACTCGTAGTAGGAAGAGGTCAGATGCCGGAGTTTTGTGTTGAATTCTTTGACAAATTCACTCAGCATTCATTAGGTCCTATTACACCCCAGAATGGAAAAATAACAACACAGAGTAGTCCCCTTGGGAGTTAAGTTCAGGTAGTTCATGTTTCCTAGCTTGGTCAAGGAAAGCAATTCTGGTTTCAGACTT